CTCCACAATCTCTCTGGGAAACCTGTTCCAGGGTCTGAAATTATTTTATCAAAAATGTCTCTGCTCAACATAATTATACTATTACTGTGGGAAAACATATTTTCCAGCTGTTCACCCTTGCGAACACAGCCTGCTCTGTGACTTCAGTGCTGCACCCATAATAAAGGTCTGTAGAGCTCAGTGGGGTTGAAAGGAATTTAAAGGTCATGGGACCTCTTGAAAGCAAGGAAAATGTCATTGTGTCTTAGCTGTAACTGTTCAGCAGTACCTATGAGAAATACTAAAGAAAACAACCGCACAAATGTTATTCTTTCCAGTAAAGTAAGCAGCCAGGAGAGTGAATGTAGAGCAGGTTTCATGAGCAGGTTTAAGACAGTGCCACTGTTAGACAGTCACTCATCAGAACCGAGCTGCTTCATCTGCCTTCTACACAGTGCTCATTGTTTCATACCGGTGTGACTTACCTTTGAGGTCCACCAATGTTATGCATAAGCCAAATGTGTACTGCAGAGACTCTATCCGGATTTAGGTTAAAGATCTCAATACTTCCAAAGATGCTGTAAGAATGGAACATGAGAAAGCAAAACATTCTTAGTTATCTGAGAAAAACATACAGAGTATGTTCCCCAAATACTAGTGCTCATTAGTGCTGCTTTATTCTTAGCGAAAGAACATTATCTTGCCCATGGATTTTCATAGACTATTTAATTGCCTTATGGTAAAATGTTTTCTCCCCATTACTTTCAGAAGAACTTTTGAAACTGTCTGCAGACTGAAACAAGCTGAAGTTTTTCCATCTTTAGCACCTTTTCTCCTGTTCAGTTTATTGGTTATTGATTTGGTTTGGGCAAGGGAAATTAACATTGCTGTTCCCCCGATCAGCATATTCTTCATCTTCCAATATTATTCAGGACTGCACTTTCAGCCAGCTAACTCAGGGAAGCACAGTCTGGAAGAGTAAAATCCAGTCAGCTCCATGACCAGTTAGAAATGTGTCATTCATGTGTAATGAATAAATAAACTGTAACAGTAAAGTTACTTTGTGCAGTAAGAGCATACTGGATGCCCCACCCACATACTCTCTGAAGGATTTAAGTTACAGTCACTGTACAGAAGGAATTAAGTGAATCAGCTCTACAATACCTAACAGTTTAAACCCCTACATGGGTTTACCAAAATCCATTCTGCACTGAGACTCACTGACAAAAATACATTCACCAGCATGCAGGCCCCACAGAAACATGGATGGTAGCATGTCAAGTAAATACCTGCTGTTTCTGAAAGCTCCAGCTTCTACTGATCCGTTGAGCATCACTTGAACCACACCGCATGCTGCTTCTGCAAACTGAACAGAACAAATGGACATTATACTGACACTACACGCCGTGCCATGTCAGACTCGGGCTAGTAGAGATTACTATGACTTCTTTGATGTCATCAGAACTGACTTATGCAAGTAGAGGATCTGGCCAATATTTTTGCAGAACTTCTCAGCACAAAAAAAAAGCCTCTAAAGGCTATGGCAAAACTGTGATAAAGCTGCAGTAGCCACCTATGAATTGACAGTCTGCGGCTGCATGGGACTGGTATAGCAACTTTGCTGTCACTGCTGTTCTCAGTTTTTATAGGGCTTTCCAGAGCCCCAGCAGCTACAGCTGCCTGATGGGGCTGTAGTACTTGGAATAATCCTCAGACTGCTTTAACTCTGTTGGTGAGGATAAGCCAGAACAGGGGTACCACTAGTTTAAGGACACACAAACCATGATGTATTCATCAACTTGTGAGTCATGCTCTGTGTTCTTTTGTGGCTTGGGATTTTTCTCCCCAATGGTTTTAGTAAAACTCATCACCAAGTTCTGTTTGATTTGATTTTTAAATGACTGGTTCACATAATCACTGCTCTTTTATTCTTAAAACTCATGTCCTAATATTTAAAGACTACTAAGGTTACAACATACCCACTCTAGATATATAGTCCGTAGGTAAGACAAAGAATTTTTAAAAAGCTTAACACAGGTGCTTATCAAATCTTCCGAGTCCTCTTACATCTAAACAATGTGGCTCAAACTCAGATCTTGAAAGCTGTGAAGTTTCACTATGTGTAACTTTCTAAGGTAATAAGCATGTGTTTTAGTAGATCTTAAATTTATTTGGACTAGAAAGCCTGCAGTTGAGCAAGCCTGACTCTGTATGGTGGTTAATCCCTCCCAGACTCTGCAACTGAGGGGATTAATGAGAACACAGAAACTCTTTTGAGCTTGGAAAACTTATGTACACTAGTTTACCCACACAACATTTTTTTGCAGTAAGACTTTTTCTTAGCACATGAGAGCTGAAGCACACAGGAATGCTTGTTTTCCACCTGGGCAGTCGTCTACTAATAGTCATATCAAGGGTGAAGACTTGAAAGACATGTAAAATTAAACTGATACAGGAGAGCAGATTTTTTTCTGGCAGTTTTTTTTTTCTGTAAAGTGCTGATTCAACAAAGCCAGGCTAACTGCTTAACTCGGACTAGCAGGGTCTCATCCATGTGATGGGAGTTGGCATGTGCGTATGGGTGGGTACATTGTAGGAACCTTGCCAGATGCCATTGTGGGAGGATCTGCTCTTCAGGTTTATGTCAGGAAGATGCAAGGGGATTCTCAGCTGCTTGGAAAATTTCTGTGCCAATTTGGGAACTGCTGTCAACATTAACATGCTAAAATGTATTTTATTTTAGCAATTTCAGTCCTGTGATTTAACTAAGGTGGTGATTATTATTGTGATCATTATTTGCAAAGCTCCAGCTGTCTGCCAAGTGTTGTTCTGGACACAGGCACACAGCCTCAGTTCATAAATAAGAATGCCCAGATTACAGTGGCATTAAATATTGTACATAAAATGTGGGACCTTGGAAATACAAATTTCCAATGTCATGATTTTTAGCACCTGAAGCTAAAGCTCATGTGAACTTTCACTATTCCATGTTTTAAGTCCAATCTGCAAACTCTCATTTTTCGCGGTGTCAGGAACTTAGGGCCTTTCAACATCCTTGGATTTGGGGAGATTTATTCTAGATCTTACCATCTTGGATGCCATTTTCCAGAATACAGAGCTAGGGTTGGTCTCACATTCACTTCGTTTTGGACAAGATTCATAGTTGATTCCTGAGAAGAAATACATTTATAGAATAGCTAAGGTTAAAATTAATATTGTGGCAATGTTTATATGGCTTTGAGAGCTGATTAATGATGGCAAAAAGATTTGTCCCCTACCGAAAAAAGAAGACTACCTGAGGAAAGGGCTACAAGAGGAAAAGGAATTTACATGTGTTCAAAGGTCTTCCTGTTTGCTCACACACATTTCAGGGAGGTGGACGCAGGCCCTGTATGCAAATAATTCTCATAAAACTGAGAAGGGAAAGCGTGTAGTCCTAAATGTGAGAAACAGGTTGGTTCTTGTCCGATTGCATTGAAAAGTTAAAATATGCCCAATATTTTCAGTAAACCAGCCCAGTTTAGAGGTTTCTAGCCCTAAGCACCAACCCAGGAGTCACGTGGGCAGTGATAACCCTAGGGTGCCTACATGCTGTGCCTGCCACTTTGACTGGTCTATGGCCAGGGGCTTTTTGAGTGCTATTGTTTTGCAATTTGTCCCATAGAAGTCACAGGAAGTGGGTGATCTAGACAAAGGGACAGAAATACAGTTAAGGTTTTAAACTAAATTACAAGAAAAGAATATGTGTAAAGGATTGTGTTTATGTGTAGGTCTACAAGAGAGAAGAATAATCTGGAATTCCAGTGTTCATATTTGTTTTGCAAAAAATAGGATTTATTACCTGGGGCAGAGGGGTCTCCACACCATGAAACCCTATCAGCCATATAACCCAACAAGGTGTCCTCCAAGGTAAGGAAATTTTGATTGGATTTTGTATAACGATGAGCGAGGTCACTTGTCTTGCTCCAAAACAGTGACTGTGAAATAAGGTACAATGTCTAGTAAGTGATAATTATATCAGAGCTGTTCAGGAATTTCTCCTGTAGAAAAACAAAAAGTTTTCATGATAATGAAGGAGTTTTAGTTTTTATTGAAATGCTGCAAGTTCACCTTAGTGGGTCAGTTCTTATTTCTGCAGCTGACGCTCCCATTTCCAAAATCTTTTTGACTGGTTATTTTTGTGGAAATGGATGTGTTTGGCCTGTAAAGCATTTTTGAAAGAAAGGTTTTGACTAGTTCTCATAGGATATGTACCTGGTTTGTTGTGTGCTTTTGAACTGCACGTGGAAGAGCAGCTTTTTGGAAGCAGTGTCCCTCTAACAGCATGACAGCATGCTCCTTAGAGAGAACCATATGCACAGGGAACAGGGACATCTCTGTCGCTTCACCAGGATGACCCTGGTACTGAGGTCTGAGGCGAGCCTTACACAGGGGTGATTTCCAGCGATAGAGAATGAATAGGGTTACTGGGGTCCAGAGGTGATAATGGAGGACTACTGCAGCAAGCCCAAGAGCAAAACATCGCCCTTGTCAACGTACAGACCCTCACAATCGTTACAGACAAGATCCCATCACTCAGAGCACTGTCCAGACATGCCATCCCACAACAATCCTACTGAAGCAGCCCACCATGCATTGTACTGTTACCTTGTTACAGGGTATAGGATGACTTGCTAAATCCATTAAAGGCTCATAATCTTCGGATGTAATATTACAGGGATTCTTGTAAATGAACGCATGTTTTAATGATTCCCATATTTTTAGGCAATCCTTATCTCTGCCGAAAGATTAAAACATAGTTAATTAGTATTTATGAGTATTTACAGCTGTGAAAGGATCTCCTTCTGTTATCATCAGACACTATGGATTAGATTTTAAAAGACTTCTAGCTATGCTCAGGCATCAAAATACATTATCCACTACAAAAGCAGAGTATCTTCAGCAAATTAAGTATGAACTGAGGAATGAGCAGTTCCAGAACATCTTTCTCTCTCTCCTGCATTTTAAATTGCTGATTACTGCAACATCTGAATATCCTTTAAGTTTTTGTACTTTAAAAGATCTGTGCTGATATCACATATCCAAAAGATCAAATTTCTTGATTATTCATACCAAATCATGAGAAGCAAATGTGGCACGCTATAGCTTGTACATTTTAAAAGTATGGCTGAAGGACACTGCCTCCTCAGGTCCAGTGAGCCCAAAATATGCTCATGTGTCTCCCTGCGGAGTGTTTGACTCTACAGAAATAATATCTATAATTTTATCTAAATCAAAAGCAGGAGTCTGGCTGGTTTGGACCCGATATTATTTTAATTTATGCATTTATTTGCAGCTATTGACTTTGCTGGGGCCACAGCTGATCTGCACATGTACAACCAAGATCCAGATCAGGTGCTTGGTCTCCAGTGGGTTTTTTCAGTCTCCTTGTGGTCCTCCACCACGTTACGGGTTCTGGCCCTTTTGCTCTCACTGGCATGAGTCAGAGGAATTCCAGTAAATTTGCGTGGGGGGAACTCCTTCATGTCACGACACAACACCTCAGCCTACACTTGTTTCTTAAGGTGCTGCTTTGTCAGCCTAGGAAATAAAGCACCTCTCTGCTGACAGATGCCGGTCTCCTTTTGTACTGCAAGAGGAAATCTGTTGCACAGTGCAGGCAAGCAACCATATGTCTGTAGTGAAGCAATGCCATGCTCCCTTCCTGAGGCTGCAGCATGCAGTAACGTTTGAGACAGCTCCGGACATTTGCTTTCTTGTACTTGAGATAATGAATGAAAACTTTGCGTTAAGATAATTCATAATTATTGTCTGTCTCACATGTGTTTTCAAAGCTGTCTCCCATGGGTGCACTTCGCTTCCTCTTCATGCTCCCACAGTTTCAGGCCCACGCGGAAAGCCTGCCCCTCCCATTACAGCAGTGACAGTAATGCGGTGATTCTGCATCCTTCTCTTCCCTATTTTTATGTAAATTTAAACCGCTGACTGCATTACCCTGCTGTCTGCATATCTGAATGGAGCTATTCTGACTGTCTTTGACTCATCCACTCTTTCTCCACTGATTGCAGCCATCTCCCAGCTCATTCCCACTAAAAGCCATTTGAAGAATGGACTTTGTCTTGTATGAAGAAACTAATGCCTTCAGAGTACTATAAAATTAACACTGATCAGTTAGTACGTGACAGACACACAGCTGCAGGCTTTGTTACCAGCTGGTACTTGGGTAACATGTAGGATGTGGAATCTGATTAGTCTTGAAAAGAGTCCTAAAGGGATTAAGAAAAACAGTTGTAATTAACTGAATATTTCCAAGCATTTTCAAGTTAATCTTCCCTACAGTTGTGTGATCTCATTCCTACTACTGAACTTGATCATGATTTCTACTGAGTGACCATTCGAGCATCAGAGGGGCAAACTGGAATGCAGAGAGCTGAGCTGTTTGTATTACATGGGCCACATCGAAACTGCGGGACCCAGAACCACTTGTCAGCTCCTAGCCATCTCCTCGATGTCTGAACATGAACTCTTCTCCTTCCCTTCCGTTCCCAAGCCTTGTAAACATCACACAAAGAGGAGGCCAGACTCTGCCTGTCTGTGTCCAGAAGAAAGCGACAGCACCTGACAACACTATGTAACAGAGGGAATGCCTCTATTGGTCCCTTGGGGCTTGGGCCAGTATAATGCTTGGAAGGACCAGGCAATCCATGGCAAGATGTCCCTGGCCTGCCTTCCCTTCTGCCTTTATTTACGCTGTAACAAATCTAACTTAGCATTATATATGATATTGGTCATTGGGAGGTCATACCACAAAAGTGGTTACTACAGCAGGTTTCCATGCCCCAGCTTCTTCTAGTCCTCCTCTGTGAAAGGTCTCCAGTGGATATGTCCTCATCTCTCACTCTTGGGACAGCCAAGTGCATTGGGCTGCAGAGCTCTATCTGGGCTGCAGACATCCCACAGCCTGACCTTGAAGATTTAAAACTAGCTCGGGTATTGCCACCTTACAGCGCCGTCTGAAATGCAGACCGAGCCTGCAGGCAGGAAGAAGGCAGGTGAGCCTGGAGGGTCTCCAGCCATACGGCCAACCGGGGCTGTTCTGGCTGCATGCCGAATTTCATTTCTTACCACGCCAGCCTCAGCTGTGTTAGGAACTACACTTGTTTATATGAACCAAATTTACCTCCAGGTAAGTAAAGACTAATAACAACGATGATTTTTTAATTGGGCTACTGCCTTTTATCCTGGACCCTAAATGCACTTCCAGTTACGGTCACTGTAGCAATAAGCAGCCAAACTGCAGATGCTCTAGGGAGCACGGTCGTTGCTTTGATGTTGTGCTCTCATGTCAGGGAGTGTTCACATATTCTATTTAGCAGAATTAACTTGGGTGTATTAAATTTTCTCCTGGAGAAGACTGCCTCTGGCTGCAAACTGTGTAACTCACTCACAGAGACCATCCTCCCAACTTTGGTACTTCATTTAGGAGTTGGGAAGTTGTAAATACCTGTCCCTGCCACACAGGATTACAACATGACCACAATGAATCAGCCAAAACAGAGGGCTCCTGCTGATTAAGGGGTGACACTACAGAATAGGCAGCTGTCCCCTTTGCTTTGCATAGTCAATGGTATCATAAAGAGAATTTGTAGGGCTTGCCTGTAAGCACAGGTACATCTCACAGACATTTATATGTCTCACATTTTATAACGATTTGACCTGGCAGGACTCTTTTTTTTTGTTGTTTTGTTGTTGTTGTTGTTGTTGGGTTTTTTTTAAGCCACTTCTGAAATCTTCTGTATGTAACTGGTAACAGCCACAGGTGACAGCTGGTTACCTGGTCATTTATCCTTTCATATGGCAAAGTTTTAAAGCTTGGTCTCAGAAAGCAAAATATTTTTTGAGGAATCATAAGAAAAACCTCAGGTTTTTTATTTCTAAAGCAGGGAGGTAAGTGATAGACACAGTACGAAGCATTTCTGCTGCTGGACTCAAGTCATGGCCATGAGAAGCACGAAGCAACAACCACCCAGGTGATTCACAATCCTGCCCAGACAGCTTGCTGAGTCACAAATTCAGTTTTCTAGCATTTCAAGACACCAAGCTCAGCACTTGATGATGTGCATGGATATCACTCATCTGAGAGAAGAGTCTCTATCCACAGTCCAGGCACAGCTGAGCAAAACTATATGTTTAATGTATAAAAGTGGTAGGGCCTAGCCTTCAAATGGAGGAAGCTCTTCTACAGCTGGTAATTGGTGTGGTACTTTTAGTTGTACCACACAGAAGAATGATAAGGCATGAAGATGGGTTTTTATAGAGACTAGGCAATTTCAGCATTGTTTTAGAAATCAAAATACAGATCTTCAGTGTGAAAAAATATATACAAAGGCTAAACAATGTTTCATTTTTGCTGTCCTCACCTATCAACATGTATATTTTTACAACTGAATAAAAATAATTAATTGATTTACCTTTGGAAAGCTATTTCTCTGATAGGAAATACCAGCTTTGTGTCACATTTCAAAGAGATTACCAGTCACATAAAACCATGATACTGGTTGACATATGAAAAAATAAGCAGTGAGAAGACTTTAGGACTTGTTAATCCCAGCTCCAGGAACATGCACCACTCTTTCCAGCCTCACTGTTGGGGTAGACGCCTGTCCCTTTTTTCAGTACAGCAAGAAAATATTTGGTGTGCAGCATTTAACTTGCACTAAGCAGAGGTAAGGGTAGAGACCTGCTGTAGCTCTGGGCCTCCTCAAAACAATATTAAAAGGTTGCTGGCAGTTGGTATGCTAAAAATGCCAGCAAGAACAGTTTCAGGTTGAAACAAGCACATCTGCCTTGCCAAAAAAATGCCTGAGAAACAAACTGTCCTCTTAAGGCTGCTCCCAGCTTCTCATTGGGAAGTTCTCAGCCACAGAACGGGTCATTTCATTTTCTTTCTTGGTTTACAAAAGAAAGGAAGGGTTTGAAAGAAATCAGAAATCACTAGTCTACCAGTTAATTAAATTAATCTAATTCAGATACAGGAGTCCATGGTGAATACGCTTACGTACCACACTGCTGTGGGGCTCGTGTGCTCTCCTTCTCTGGTTTTTGTTTGTAAGTAAGTTTTGAGTTGCATATTAATTCGGCATCCTATCTGCAAATACCATATCTTTATGCATAATGAATTTCTTCCTCTGAGCCCAACTTTGCTTATGCTGAAATATTTAAGGCCTTTTATTCTACTACAGAATCTGAAATATTTAATCCAAATTCAGTGACATGTAAAATAAATATACTCTGATTTTATGTTTAATTTTTTCAAACTTTTTTTTAATGAATAGAGTTTGGAAAATGCTGGTAATTGTGAAGAAATAACTAACAGACGTAGAAGGAACACTGTGAAACCTGCTGTAAACTCAAGAACTGAACCTGCAACCCTTTCCCTTGAAAGTGAGGATTGCAGAACTTGCCTTATGACCTTTTGGAGATAGAGACTATACCCTCCACTCAGTATAGCATTGAATAAGGGCTGGGATGCAAATAACCATTAAAACTATATTTCTTTATTATATCCATACGTTATATATACCGCAAAGCATATCCTGCATTTGTCCTTACATTTGGGTAGAAGTTGCATATTCCAATGAATTTGAGTATTTCTATCCATTTACCTCTTATAAGAGTATCACATTAATCTATCATATGGAAGATGGGGCCAAAAATATTTCCATTAGCAGCTATCCTAGCAGCCAAACTTTAATGTGCAGATTAGAAAAACGGACAGCTTCTGCATCATTTTCTCTTGTACACTGGTCTGGCTAACCTTGAAAGAGTATCCTTTCACTTCAGGGAATGGGATGGCATTGACCTACCTGGGAAATCACTACTAATATAGGTCTTTTTTTTTTCTTTACTTTGAAATTTTATTTTCTTTCTTTAACTGGACATGACAGAGCAAATTCATCCTCAACTGAAATCAATTTAATTGGTATAATATCAACGATAAGTTTCATCCCTGCAGATTTCAGTTACACCATGAACAATGTCTTGCTTTAAGTTCAGCACTGAACTGAAATTGGATGCTAAAAGCATCTTAAGGGCAGCTTTTCTTTGGGCTGTGTTGCCTCTAGTTTTTACTCAGAAATTTGAGAGAGCTGTTTCAAGTATGGTACCCATTTTAAATTTACAAGTGAAAAATGACTTCCAGGCTTGGTTCTGGAGAACTCAATCAACTCTCCCCACACTGTTCAAATCGCTCTACCAGAGACAGCCCCCTGACGAGATGTGATCTCCTCTGCAATCAGCAGCAGCTTTTCCAAGGTCCTGAGTTTTCTTTCTAAAACATGGCAATGTCTTCAGGCCACCCTGAGATTTTAGTTGTGGCTCTGTGGTGAAGCTCTGAAGTTAGAGCTGGAAGTAACTGGCTTTTGCAGAGATCAAGACTCACCAGCAGTTGCAATTTGTGTAAGAAAATTCTTCTCAGTTGCTACCACCGTTAGCCAAAACAGTAATGCAGATACGCACCTAAGCACTCAGAAATCTGGCTCTTTAAAAGGTCTGTGAGAAGTTTGTGGTTATAACAAAGATCCTTAAAGGCATAAGACAAATTCACACTCTGCTGGGAGTCTAAGGTATCACCTTCATCTGTAAAAGCCCATAAGTTTCAGAAGGAGAATGCAGACCAAAGGACCTAAACGGTGTAGGAATATTTCTGCTTCTAACAGATCCATCTTTGCCTGGGTGCCAGTTTATCTGCCTCTTTTAGATAAACTGTGACAGCTGTAGACAGCGGTGCAATTTATACATCTGTATTCAATTTGTTTTTTTCATGTGAGCTTATGAGTAGCTACATCTTTATGTTGTCAGACATTAAACAATGAACAACCACCTTTATGTCTGTGTTGAGAGGAAGCCCTCTGTAACCCAGACTCCTTTTGCTACCTTTTTTTTCCCTCAATATTTCTGGTTTTTTTTCTTCTGCTCTCCCTTCCCTTCTTCCAGCCTTGCCGTGTCTCACTGCTGCTTTGGAGCAGCTTCTCTGGAGCCTCTGCCAAGCCCAGCCCAGCCCAGGCAGCTGTGGTTGGGCTTCCCCACAGCCGACCGGAGCGGTGGGGGCAAGGAGCGGGAGGCCAGGAGCACACCTCCATCCTGCGGGGGAAGGGGCTCTCGGGAGCAGCGGCCAGGGGCAGCCCCAGGGGTCTGCAGTCCTTCCTGCTGGGTGATGGCCCGACCCACCTCCAGACCACTGCGTCAGAAAAGGGGTGCGTGTGTACCATGGATCAGCTCTGTTCCTATTATTCTAGCACCTAAAACCTTTGGGCTAGAAGTCAGACAAATGTGAATTCAAGAGAGGTCAGCCAATATGCTGTCATCGCTGAGGATTTGAGGAGACCACTGTCTGCTGCTTTTAGCATTAGGATAACAGAGAGGGGAAAGTTTACCAAGGGAAAGGATGAAGGAAAAAAATCATGGAAGAGCTGTCAATCTCAACGTCTTCAATGAACACTAGCCTCTCAGTACCCACTTAGTTTAATTATTGCAAAGTATCTGCCACCACAACATTTATGGTAACTGACTTTTTTTCAATATAAGAATTACATACTTGATTTTTTTTGGCAGCTTGATTTTCTAAGTATTGCTTTCTGTTAATTAAATAGTTCAAAAGCCAGTAAAGAAAGCGTGGGAGGAACTGACTGTGGATAGAGAGAGAGATCCTAAACTCTGCCTCAGAGAAAGACGGCTTCTGGAAAGGTTGCCTGTAGGCAGAGCAATTAAATTCCCCACAACAGAGGCTGGGAGTCTGCAGGTCTGGAAAAAGAAGTACAAGGTGAGATTTCTGCTGGTGCACCTCAGGGCTGTGTATATTCATGTATATGGAATGACCTGGAAAAAACGATAGCTCCTCATCATGCCAGTCTTTAACCTTTGGCAGGAACAAGAAGGTTTTAAGGGCAAGTGTACTTGTGGCTTTGGTTTAGAGCTCCCAGAGTATTTTATGTGCATTGGGAATTGGTGCTCCAGGACAACACTAAGCCTTATCATCCTTCCAGGAAGGGGTGAGCCAAGAGGTGGCAGCTATAAACCAGTGGAGAGTTCATCTACATAAGCAGAT